AGTTTTATTAATTTATGTGTATCCTCTGGGCATTTAGAATTAAATATTTGAATACATTTAGAATTAAATATTTGAGAGTGAGCTCTCTAGGTATGGAAGTATGATGTTCGCCTCTCATTCAATTGGTCCCGGGATCAAAACTTGACAGGGCCCCCCAAAAAATCCTTTTCTAAAAATGTGTTCTCCTTTCCTGTTCTCTTGTCCTGTTCTGTCACATGTCAGCTTCCGCTTTTCTTTTCTTTCCTTTACTCCTGACTCTTTCTAATTCTACTGCTACTTCTGGCTCCTTACTGCTGTCTTTCGCTCACACCCCTTAACCCTATCCGTACACCCTGGGGTCATTTTGTACGCCCAGGGTTGTATTCTTCACATTTTAGAATACTTCTAGTACGAAGATCTCTTTGAAACTTTCAGTATTAAAAAAAAAATAATTTTGACAGACTGCTATGCAAAGGGTACGGATCGGAATAACCAGTAAATTTCCTCTTTGGAAAGTGGTGGCACAGAGTTCCCCACGTCGTATGGATACGATTGTAAAACACGACGTACGGATAGAACACCTTGCCTTCTCAGATAACGACAAAAATCTGGGAGGTCCTGTGCGCAAGTTGAGCACGTTAGAAATAGAGATCTGGTGGTGGTCCTGAAGAAATAGATAAGTACGCTTCAGCCACCTCTGGGCAAAATTCAAAATTACGGTGTATTTCCAACCAAAACTGAAAATACTCCAGTCACTAAAGAAACAGAGGGAAGATCTACCTTTGAAATTTGAACTGTGACTGCCTGATGGCAAGGGAGCCTACGAAGTAGGAAAAAACGGTCACATCCGTAGATGTCAGGTGCACTCAAGGACCTTAAAACCTTTGGTGCACTGCAGGCTGAAGGACCAGTAGTTAGTTGACTGCTTCTGATTTAATTTTCTTTTTTTTGGTAAGTGTTTTACGACGCTCGCAACTGCATAAGGTCATATGACCGCGCCGGACACACCAAACATTTTCAGTTGGTAGGAAATTTTTTAATTTTGCCCACTTGGCAGATGAAGCCTACTCTTATCGATTTTGGACCACCAAGGGATCTTTAACGTGCGCACGAGCTTCAGCTTTATCTTTATAATTCATTTCTTTGATGATGATGAGCAAGAAATTTATTGACTTCTTTAAAAAAAATTAAAATGTTTTAATAAAGAGCTTTACAGCACTTTCAACACAATAGGTCATATTGGTGCAGAAGATTAGGTTTATAATGCACGATTAATAGGCTACTGATATTAATACAATAGAGAGAGCAACACAGGAGTAGCCTATAGGAAAATTGACACAGCCACAGGGAAACACACAACTACAATGTTTGCTGCGGGGGTCTCGTTGCCTAGAGGTTAAGGTGTTCGCTTCTCATTCAAAGATCCCGGGTTCGAATCAGGATAGCGACCGAAAAATTTTCTTCTCTAAAATTGTCTCCTTTCACCTCCTTTCCTGCCCTCTAGCAATGTTCTGTCGTCTGCTTTCGTCTTCTCTTTCTGCCCCCACCCCCTCACCTCCTTTGCCCCCTCCTCTGGGCTCCTGACTCTTTCTGCAGCCTTTCTACTGCTACTTCTTTGCTCCTTTTTACTGCTGTCCCTCAGCTGCACCCCTGATCTTCTGGTAGGAAAGATCTACACCTAGCCTTCTCGGACAAGGGCGAAAAATCTCTGAGGGCCCGTGTGTAAGTTTCGAAAGTTAAAGATCCCTTGGTAGTTGAGTAGGCTTCGGCCGCCACCCGGGCAAAATTCAAAATTTCCTACCAACTGAAAATGTTTAATGTGTCCCGCGCGCTCATATGATTTTATGCAGTTGCGAGCGCCATAGAACACTTCTTACAACAGCAATAATGTAGCTGCTGCTGCTGTCACATCCTACAGCTAGTGAACAAACAACGCCCAGAAAGAAAGCAAGAAAGAATAACTGATTGTGTGCTTAAAATTTTACTTCCAGGTGTACCTCTTTTTTTTTACTGAAAAAAAAGATAAAAAGAGTGGTAATTTATTTTTACCAAGCAAAATTATAGCAATAATTTGGGCCTGGGATCTCAAAGCAAAACACTAGTTTAACTATAATAATGGTTGAGACTATTGAGAGCTTCCGCCACTATCCCCCTTTGCCCTTCATTCGGCTCAAATGGCACGCCCCGTAAAAAGGAATTAAGTCGTTGTGAACCATATGTTGTTGTTTTTTAAGAACAAGTCTATGGTGTGAATTTAATAACGACCTGGGTCGGAAAGCGCAGTTCACTCGACATGTCTTGGTTGGAGATGGAATTTCTATGGTTATCTCCCCGAAATTTGTAAGATGATTTTTCGTGTCTATCATTCGGTAGCTACAAGACCACATGTATGTGCCATCATTCGTATCTGTTCCTTGTGTCCATTATTATTATTTCCCTTATTTGTCAATCATATTCATCTGCTTTATTTCTGTTCCGTTTCTGTCCCAGTCATGCATCGTCTGACGTATGTCTTCATTGTGCTTGATTATTAAAAGTCTACGTCAAGTCACAAAGAGTGTTGGCATTTATTTAATTTATACATAGATTATACAATAGATCTAGATTCTACTTCAGCTTCTAAGAGAAAATTTCCTAGTAAAGAAATTTGATTCCTATAAAAATATTTCTAGGAATGTTGTTTAAGAAATACATGTATATTCGTTTTCAAGAATATATAATTTGCGCAGAGTTGATTTATAATAAATTTATCCTGTCCTATAGGCCTAGAGAAGCGAAATCTTTTCAATACGAATTCTCGATGACAAGAGATTTTTCAGTTACTGCGGACTCATTGTTAGACAAGATGGCGCTCGCTAGTGTGTGCGGTTTGAAGGCTCAAAGTGGAAATTTGTACAATGGATTCAACCCCAGCGATGACGGATTGATGGGTATACCAAGCCTTAATGATGCATTGCAAATGTCATCAAATTTCACCCTGCCCTGTGACCCAGCGGTATGTAGATCTAGAAATCTAGGCTTTTGTATTAAAAATGTATGGACTATATGATATGGACACTCCACTTCACTCTGCTGGTTGAGAGTGGAGTGACGATAAGAATGTGTTGTCAACAACGGTCATTTTAATGATTGTTGTTGACTGTAGGCCTAGAATCTAGATCTAGATCTAGTGTGTTATTGATACTGTCACTGGTAAAGCCGTGTCACTCATACAAACCTGCCAAGTGCTCTGATAAAAGGGGGGAAGATTGAACATTGAAGAATACCGGACCACTCACTCGTGTACATTATTGCGCGAGAATGTGGGGTGGGTGCGGCGGGTGAAGGAGGGGGTGGGGGGGTTCAGGGGGGGTCTCCCCCCTGTCGAAACTTTTAATGATTAGATCTACTGGTCCGAGATTCTCCATTGAGAGATAAAAACTGGGGAAAATCATGAATTCCTAAGGTTGAGACATAGGCAAAGTCAGTCCGCTGGTCCGGTGCCGGTATATTCTTCAATCTTACCTAAAAGGGGAGCTTGTAGAAAAACTCTGATTTCCCTGATAGGATGGCCAGAGCCTTTTTTACTTTTGGCTATTCAGCTATTCTCACCCAGTGTGCGTTCACCGTTATAGCCTAGGCCAACCAGTGTAGCGTTCACCCTGAACCACAATATTCTACACTGTGATAACAGAATTGTAGAATTAGCCTATGTGCCGTGAACAAAGGAAGTGGCTATCCTCACCCGGGGTGAGAATAAAAATACGATCGACCTCTCACCGCGGGTGAGACTTGCCATTGTTGGCTATTCTCACCCGGTGTGAAAAAAGATCTGTTTTTCCTAATTTCAGAATACATTAGGGCCTACTTTCTAATCGGTGTGGATGATCAAATGGATAAAAGTAAAGAAAAAATTATGTTATAACACAAAAGTAGGCTAATTTGATCGTCTACAAAGATGCTATGGCTATTTCACTTTTCGAATCGAGTCGAACTAGGCGGGTCGCCATTTTGTTTTGCCCGGAGGTTCTCGCAAGATCTACTCCTCCCCTCTTCTCTCTCTGTCTCTTTCTGAATACTCTCTCGGTGTGGACGATCAAATTGACCAGAACAAAGATAAAAATTTGATGTTAAAACACAAAAGTAAATTAATTTGGTCGTCTACAAAGATTCTACGGCTATTTAACTTTTCAAATCGAGCTGAACTATTGGGGTCGCCATTTTGTTTTGCCCGGAAGTTCTCGCGCTACTCCTTTCTCTCTCTCTCTCTTTCTCTCTCTCTCTCTCTCTCTCTCTCTCTCTCTCTCTCTCTCTCTCTCTCTCCACTGCCCACAGACAACATTGTACACTTTTCGGCTAACAGTAGTAATGGAACGTTTGTTCACGGCACTGAACACAGAATTCTACAATTTTTCTGTTATTACAGTGTAGAATTCTGTGGTTCAGGGTGAACGCAAAATTGGTTGGCCTAGATCTAGACTATAACGGTGAACGCACACCGGGTGAGAATAGCTAAAAGAATTGCCTGCGCTATTCTCACCCGGGGTGAGAATAGAGGTAGCCGTGAACAAATGTTCCAGCGCTCTTGTGTTACTACTGTTAGCCTCCTAAAGGCAACCAATCAGAAAATAGGGCAAACTAATGATATGTGGACGTTGAAGTTCGTACACATAAGTTAACCTATACTTTTGGTGTCGGGAACACTTTCGTATCGAGTACACCGAAAACTATAATATAAGGAGTTTGAATTTCAACGCCGAGATGGTAATAGATCTATCTATCCTCTATAGTGTGCTCAAATTTGAACGTTCTGTGTCGAGTAGTTGTTTAGACCCGATCATAAATGCACGACTACCCCCCTATCCAAAGCGGCTTCGCATGGAGACCGGCCATTTTCCCGTCACTCTCATGGCAAATGTATGTGACCTACAAATCCCCACATGACTATTCCGGGCCCGTTCATTGGTCACTTGAAATAGGGCAATGGCGGGCGCGCGCATCCGGTTGTTTTTCTCTCTGTTCCCCTGTAACATGGCAATGAGGGTATTCCGAGGCGAGGTTATCTCATCTCGGGGTGTTCGCGTCTCAACAGGGAATAAGAATTTTTAATTGTATGACATGCTAGATTGAATTAACTTATCTTTTACGGTTGGCATGGTCTAAAGTCATCATAAAAAGCATTGCAATTATTTAGTCACGCTGCCGACATTTCTTCTTAAAGATCCCATGTTGTGATACAATACTATAAATAAAATGGACTCATCCCGACACCCCTTTTTTGCAAAATCGTAATATGTACTCCAAAATTTTAATTTATAACAAAATAACTGCGAAATGGGTAGTAAATCTGACTGCAGAAATGATTTCTACACCCAAAAACACATCGGGTAGCCAAGTTTCTCTCTAACACTCTGATCAGTTACCGGGATATCGTCGATTTTCTTACAGAATCCACTTTTTAGGAGTATTTTCCTATATATATATGTGGGTCATCCATATTTTGCTGACCTTTACAACCCCATAACTTTTTTATTTATAAACCGATTCTTAAAATTTAAGAAGCATAATTCTTAGAATTGAAAATTCTTTCTTAGGTACCAAATAAAAAAGGGCTAAAGTGAAAAATTAAATTTTCATTGGCATTGCTATTTTGTCTGTGGGCAGTGGAGAGAGAGAGAGAAAGAGGAGCAGCACAAGAACTTCCGGGCAAAACAAAATGGCGACCCGCGTAGTTCGGCTCGATTCGAAAAGTTAAATAGCAGTAGCATCTTTGTAGACGACCAAATTAATTTACTTTTGTGTTTTAACATAATTTGAAAACTTTGTTGTGGTCAATTTTATCGTCCACACCACAGGTCTGGAACTTCTCTTGTCTTTTGTCAGAATGAAGAACACTATTTTATGACTCAAACAAGATGGCTGTTACTATAAATATCTGCCAATGGCGTACTCCTAACGTTGTCTAACTATCCACTTGTGGATTGGGACATCAACAAGATATAAGTCGAAAGTGGCTTTTATATTATTATATCTGATAATAGGATGAATACCATAGCATGGGGCAGATTTGCGCTAATCAACAGGAATTTCAATTTAGTTAGAATTTGTGGAAATAACACTCGCCAAGGAATTTTATTGAGAACCCCCACCAGATGATTAAACAAGGCCAGATCAGACAGCTGAGCTTCAAGTTCAAGACCACGTAGAGTCTTAGCATTCGCAAGCCATCCAGGGTGTAGACTGACTGAGAAAGAGGTAAAAGGGTAGATTTTTTTCTTCACCTCAATTTCAAAGAATTATGCTAAGAGATGTTCTGTTTCTTTAATAGTTTGTTGGGATGGGTTTTTTTTGGTTCTTTCACAGGCACATGCAAGTATCAACCATGCTCTGACAAGTGGAGAGAACAATGTGAAAATCCAGTTTGATCATGGCACCACCACGCTAGCGTTCAAATTCCAGCATGGAGTCATTGTTGCTGTTGATTCGAGAGCCACCGCCGGGCCATCGATTGGTGAGTCTTTACAGCAGTCTAAGTTCCGTTTTTTGTATCCTGCTTATAATTTGAATTGAAAATAAAGAGGTACTGTTTTGTGCTTTTTGAGGATTAATAATTTTGTCCTGCCTTTCGAGTTGCATCATTTTCTTTTAGTGAATGTCTCTTAAAAAATTAATATATTTAATAACTTATATTTCTTCCTGAAGCATCTTCAATGAATTGGTCTGGACTGTCAATTTAATGCCTTTTATGTGTAAAAATTTATACAGTTGACTGCGGATGAATTGACATCCTCCAGGGAGCGAAAAAAATATGAAGTCATCTGAGCTCATTCTTAACTGTTGAGATCTGTAAAGAAGAAGAGATGTAGGGATCAGAAAAAAAGATCAACTTAACAGAAAATTAACTCAAGAAAGTTCAGCACAAGCGGAGTAGACTAATAACAAAATTGCTCTTTATGTCTCAAGTGCATGAACAACAAAGCAACACAATATATCTTGAAGAATTTAAAGACCTTATTGAGTCTTACATACCATCAAGTACCCCCTGTGGCGGTGCTAATGACTGAAGTGTCTTTAGGCCATTCCCTAAGGCGGGACATTAACATGTTCTTTTATGCACAGTAGAATTGTAAATGGGCCGATTCATCAATGTCATGCTAATAACTATAACTGTGCCTGAACTGCAACAGGGCACTGCTGCTTTTTCTTTCCTGATCCTTACTATCGTCATTTTTCCTCTATTTCTTTTGTATGTTTGTCACACTCTTGTGACCCGCTATTTCCGGGATGCCTTGAAGTCAAAGCAGACTGTTGAAGTTAGAGAGGTGAGCAGAGTAAGCTTGATTCCCTGTAAGGACTTCTCTGTTGGCATCCACCCCTCGGCGCTCATATGACCTTATGCAGTTTGTGAGCTCCGTAAAAACTCTACTAAAACTAAAACAATACCATCAAGACACTTGAGATCTGTATGCATCGATCAGTTCTTTTTAAGAATGAGAGGAATTAGAGTTTCAGTTGGGAAAAATTGAAGAAGTCATACTGCGATCCTTTTCTGTTTCTTTCTGTCCCCTGCCAGTTTGCTATAAAGGTGAAGAACTGCTGAAGGAGAGGAGGGAATTTCCATAAAATGTTAAATTATTTTGGCAGGCATTGTTATTCTGAGTTTGTTGACAGTGGAAAAAAGAAGAACAAATTAGAACTTCTGGTTGTTTGTTGATGTGAAACGAATCTCCTCAGTGTTCAGAGTCACCTAGCAGTTTAATCGATGACTCTCTCTCTCTCTCTCTCTCTCTATATATATATATATATATATATGTAAACCTATTCCTGAAACATACCGCTTTCCACTTTCATTGCTTTTCTATCACAAGTGTTTTCCTGTTTTCTTTTTTTTCCACAGAATCCCAGACAGTGAAGAAAGTGATCGAGATCAATCCTTACTTGCTGGGAACTATGGCGGGTGGTGCAGCGGACTGCATGTTCTGGGAGCGGGCACTTGCCAGGCAGTGCAGGTCTGTGGTTGAGTTTCCAACCTTGTCATTTGCATATTGCCTCTGTCAAGGGAAAATCAGTGACTTCAGTGCTTTTTAAAAACTCGTTCTGTAGAGCAAGGGCAAATACATCTGTAATGTGGTAGCTTGCAGTGATATTTCCCAGGAAGCTAAGAATCTTTCTGAATGATAGGGGTCCTTTGGGGGTAATTAATAATAATAATAAAAATAAATAGCATTTGTATAGCGCATATCCCCGCTCAACAGCAGGCTCTATGCGCTTTATACTATATTGTTACCCCAGCAGACCATAGAACACTCCGAAACAATCTCAGCTTCCCGGGAAGCATACAGTGCAAGCAGCTAGCTGATTAAGCGCTCAAACACTAACAAACTGACAAGATCTTTCGCTGTCTATAGCCGGGTACCCATTCCCACCTGGGTGAAGTGAGGAAAATTTGTGTAAAGTGGCTTTCCCATGGACACAACATCGGGCCCCTGACGTGATTCGAACCCACGACCTTACGGTTGCGAGTCTGAGAGCCTATTATTATCACTTTAAAAGGAAAAATAAAAGTTATGAGAGATTTGGATACCTTAACCCTTGTCCTGCGGCAGCCGGGGTTATGTTCCTCGATAAGCGTATTTCTGTACCTCGCCTTCCGTCCAGTCCCGTGTCAGTCCAGTGCTGACTCAGCGCAAGCGCGCCAAGCATCATCCGTGTGATGACCGGGTCCCGTATTCCCACAGCTCAAGTGTGTGTACGTCTGTCTGCTTGAGTTTGTGTGCGTTTGTGGCCTACTTCTAGAACCGCCTGGGTTGGTTGGTAACCAAGGCATGTTGGTAGCTCTAGATGTTCGTCCAATGAAATTTGAACAAATTGACCCACATGGACATGAGGTGCTCGAAAGGATAGCCAAGAAACAAGACTTCCATTTTTCTGTACAAGGTCTTTTGAATGAGCTTGATTTTATATAAAATGATATTACCTGATAAAAATAAGCTTATGTGATAGTTTTGAATACTATTGTGCTGGGAAAAAGACAAATTTGAGAGCAAAACATTCGGAAATTGACCTATGTTACTCCCTTTCGAACTCGAGATAATTCGTAATAGCAAGAGCGTCTAAAAAGGTCTTTTGAATGGGCGTAACTCTTCGTAATGTCGTATCAGCTTATGAGAGGAGGTTATTCATATGTTCGTAACACTTCATAAATTGAAAGCTATAAAAGATAGAGCGTTATTTTCATCATCGATTAAACACCCCTCTGTATTCACGGAAATAACAACCCCCCCCCCCCCCCCCCCCACCCCTGATATTCATGGGGGAAACACGCGTTTTCAGTGCCACTCCCTGTACACCAACAGTACACACTGAGTGACCCTGGCGGCCTGCTGGGAACGTCCGATGTAATAGGTTACTGATAAGATTCGTATCTCGGCACAGATGCAGGAAAGAGTTAACTAACAAATAGTTGAACTTGTTCTTCCTTTCTGTGCTTGTACGTAATTTCTGCTGAAGAAATATGTTATATGAAAATGAAGATTTGTATTTTGTTTCACTTGCAGAATATATGAACTGAGGAACAAAGAAAGGATATCGGTGGCTGCTGCCTCAAAACTTCTTGCCAATATTGTATATGACTACAAAGGCATGGGTTTGTCCATGGTAAGACTAATTTTTTTTTTTTTCTTTTTGACATTTTTTCTTTTGTTGAATTCTCTGCTGGTCACAAAGTATTTGATATAATAGCTTCTTCAGCCCTGATCAATTGATTTAAATACATTGTTTTTAATGTGCATCAAAATGTCCCTTATTTGAGTGGAGTATTTGGTGCATCCTCCTCCTCCTCCTCCTCCTCCTCCTCCTCCTCCGTTTATTTGGTTTATAGTCTCCTCCTCCTCCTCCTCCTCCTCCTCCGTTTATTTGGTTTATGGTCTCCTCCTCCTCCTCCTAAGTTTATTTGGTTTATGGTATGGCCTGTTTGAGAAAATTTTTCAGGCAACTAGCCAGAGCAGGTCTGCATTGATGTCTCTGACATGAGCTGCTTTCTCGACATCTTTAAAGTTTTTCATTCTTGTTTGTAAATCTCTTATGCAAGAGTACTGTGTGTAAGATCCCACTTGCCTTCTACTCTGTGATGTCTGAGATCCCGGAAAAAAGTCAACGGTCTAGGAACCTGGCTTTTAGCCGAATACTTGGAAGTGGGTGGCAAGCATCACACCCATAGGTTGATGTGGCTTCTACATTTTGTTTTTTAGATTTCACTGCTAGTACTTTTAAGTTACGCATCGTTGTTCGAGAGTAAAGTTGTAATAAAGTATCTTGTAAAATATAGCAGGGGAAAAAAAATTGTTTAGTGTATTGCGTCATTGTGACTAATATTAATATCAAGTTAGTAAGATAAAAGTGAAAAAAAAATTATTATTTTGTTTAGATGTGTATATTATATTTTCTTTTTTTTATCAGTGCTCATGATAAGATTTCCCCTAACTCTATATTTGATTGATATATGATTTGCTTCAAGCACAAAATGAATTCTATTTTTATTCCTTCTTTTACAGGGAACTATGATCATTGGATGGGACAAGAAGGTAAGAATATAATATATTGGTTAAAGAATCTTCTTTTTTTTCCCCCAGTTGTTAAATTCCATATCAGATTTTACTACGTGGAAAGCATGGAATTGTCTTTGAAAATAATAATAAATAATTCTTATTATAATAATAATAGATTGCATTTATATAGCGCTCTATCCCATACTAGTTTTGTATGAGGTTTGAGCAGACTTTGATTTGACTTTCAGAATGCATGCATTAATTACTTTCCTATAAATTTTTAATGGAAAGAGCTCTTAACCACATAATTCCTACATTAACATTTTTTTTTTTAAAATTTGATTTATGAGTATTTTTATAGTTTATTAAAAGGTGTAAAGATATATTACTCACTGTTTTGATTTCATTTTATGAGAGTTTGGAGGACAGAAACACAATGCAAAAATGTTGTTTGCAGTGGATTGTACTTTTCTCATTCAGATACTTTTAAAGCGATTTCAGTAAAGAATGAGTGAAGAGGTCTTTGCTGGAGAGGGCGTTGAGGTTTGGGGTGTTCACCTTTAAAAATATATTTTTTTACTGGTATTTTATAATTTGTGAGGCCTCGTGGTGAAATCAGGCGCTCATCAAAATAATGAAATCGAAGAAACAGGGATTTTTCTGCCAGTTTGACAATTTTTTATTGAATTACAGATTTTTGGCTCTACGCCTTTATGTCCATATACAGTACATTTTCGTACGTATTTGTCTGAAAAACGTTGATTGACGGCACAAAATATGTAATTTTTCAGTTTTCAAGGACTCTCAAGCTATTGAAGTTACCGAACTTTGGTGGCCACTTTCTCGCTTATTCTAACACTGAAACCAGGCGACCTCATCTCCTTCAATCGCAAATATGTCGACTTCTGTTTTAGATAAATGGGTGTCTCTTTTATTGAACGTATGGGAAATGAATAAACCTTTAGATGATACCAATAACACCACATGACCAAAAATTGACGAGCGCCTGATTCCACCACGTCGTGACACATTTTCATGTTTCCAGGGCCCTGGCCTGTACTATGTGGACAACGACGGTGAGAGACTTGAGGGCAAACTGTTCTCTGTAGGCTCGGGTTCCGTCTACGCCTACGGAGTCCTGGACAGTGGCTACAAGTGGGACCTGTCAGTAGAGGAGGCTCAGGACTTGGGCCGGCGCGCTATCTACCACGCCACTCACAGAGACGCCTACTCTGGCGGTGTTGTCAACTGTGAGTTGCCTCTTGTTGTAGCTGTCCCCGAGGTTTTATGCACACCGCATAATTTAGCCAAATTTGATCATTTTTGGCATAATTTCTGATTACTTTCCGTTGTCGTTCTTTGTTAAAATTAACAGAATCGCATAATTTCACATTTTTGGTCTCAGTTTGCATAATTTCACTTTGTGGAAGGGGGGGGGGGCTGAGCACCGCAAGGACAATTTTCGCCAAGTTCATTATGTGAAATTGTGTTGACCTCGGTAGCCTTGTTGGAATCGGCTGGAATCTCGAAGTGTCATAACTCGGTCAAAAGAGGAAATAGGGGAATATTATACAGTGGCAGAAGATCAGCAAACCTGAAAATGTTGTGATTTACACTTCCGGGTTATCTTCTATACCTTTTGATTCTTCTGGTGATGTGTGTGTGTGGGGGGGGGGGGGGGGGGGGAGGTAGCTTCTGAAATATTTCTCTACAAGTGTTGGGAATTGTCACAAGGTTTCATTCTACTGTAGGCATGGCATTACACTGTTAGCAGAGTGCAACAAGACATGATGTTTCATTATATTATTTTATTTGTTTTAAAAAAAAATATCAGTAAGTGATTCAGTGTGGATGTGTCCTAGGGTGTATTTACAAGTTATTTGTCATGCTGTCGCACGCAGTCCTCTCTAGTCCAAATTTTGAGAATTTTCTATTTTTCCTTCACTTCCTCCCGAAGCTGTATCAAAGATGCACCATGAGTGGTTGGCGGGTGTTCTGGTGTGGATTGCTCCTTCTTTTCTAACAAACATCTATCGTCCTTATCTCTCCTCCTTCTTTTATTGTGTACCGTATGTTACTCTCTTGTAACACATCTATTCTTCGGATTTTATATGATCTTATTGTGTTGCAAGTGCCGTAAAACTCTTACTAAAACTAAAAAAGATGCACATAACAACATCACCAAACTGCAGTTTAATACTATGGTCAAAACTTACAATTTTCTTACTTTTCATGATTCTTGATAAGAACAACACAACAAAAACTAATTTTTGGTCTCTGGTGTAAAAAGTACCCAAAAGGACTGAAGAGAATTGCTTGCAATGTGGATGATATTCTCATTCTCGTCAAAATGTCCAATCTTTGTACATTTTCTGAAAGAAAAGCAGGTCAGCTACTTTCTTGTCATTTGACTTGCAAGGAAATGAGCAATAATAAGAACTTGGGGATTGATTTCAAGATGTTTTCAGGGATTTTATGCCCAGGGTGTTGAAAAGTTCAAGATCTCTTGAAGTCAGTGGTGTCACAGTAGGACTTGCTCATTACTGTTTCTCTTATCTTCTGTCTGTCTTACTTTGGTTTTTTTACTGGCACTAAATGACAAATATTACGCTGATATAATACTTCTCTTTATTCTTATGGAATTTTATCTCGTGACACTTGGAGGGTTAATCAAAGTTTTGTTTGGTACGTTGTTTTGCTTTGTTAATTTTTGGTGGACTTTTCCTTCTTCAGTGTACCACATGAAGCAGACGGGCTGGGAAAAGATCTCTCAGACAGACACCATGGAACTCCACTACCAGTACAAGGCAGAGAAGGAGAAAGCCAAGAAGTGAGAAGCAGGCGGAACTTTGGGAATCTTTTTCTTTTTTACTGCTATAAGGAAAATGTACCTGGAATGAGACCTTTGCTTCTACAACTACATCATGTGTGTGTGTGTGTGTGAGTTCCTCGGTTTGTCTCATGTATTTTGTATCATGGGTTTTCCTTATTTTTATGTCTTTTTGTTAATTAAGCTGCTTGAAATGTGCAGAGTGATTATCGTTGTATGTTTTACATGTTGTTTGTGTGTGTGTGTGTGTTTGCTGTATGATGTGGATGAATGTTTGACCTAAAGAGGTCATTTGACTTTGTATGGAACATTTTTCCTTTATGTTGGATGAATAAAAGTGAAATCTTCTCACTTGAATAATAACCAATGTCTTTTCCCTTTTGTTTTTATTACTTGCGCATGATTGGAGGGTGCTATTTGTCAGTCCTTTTCTTTCCTCCGGTTGTTTCTTTGTCTGTTTTACTTTCTCCCTGCACTAGACTGTCCTCAGAGAAAGTTGCATTTGAAAATAGCAAAAGTTGCAAGAAAAATTAGCAAAAGTTGCAAGAAAAGTTGCAAGACGTGTATAGCTAAAACAATGCCACGGAACTATTAGAATACATTGTTGCTATGCTCATTGCAATCAAAAGTAACCAATATGAGTTTTGTTAAATCAAAATCAGAAGATAAATGTGAATGTCTAAAAAAAAAAAAAACTGCATGGAGGTTGCATGATGTACAAAAACAGTTTGGGCACTGACACATGCGTCAGGTCCTTAAACTCTCGCTGACGTTGGGCAGGTGTGATCAGCGTGGTTTTGGGGCAGTTCAAATAAAATCTTACACTTTGTTTGGGGACCCCCCCCAATCCCTTAATATAACGTTATCCGCTTATAACAATAATATGACATTTATATGGCGCAAATCCGTGTTACAATCACTCTTCTATGCGCTTTACTTTTAAATTATTAATTATAGTATTCATGAAAAACATGCATACACACATGTGACATAGTAATTAAATACGGTACAAGCGGAACTTTTCCAGAAAAACTTACGGTGTCATTTTACCACTTTAACCGCACCAGTGTAATCAAAATTAGACTAGATCTACATGTCATGTAGCCCAGATATCCACCAGTGTAGTGCGAGATGACATTATATATCGTGCTTGCCGCTCGAGGTCCACTGTATCGCCACAATGCATTGCTTACCGCTCGAACTTACTCTAAGTGAATAGTGTAGTTACTCTCTTTTTAGGCTCTAAAAAAAAGTTATGTTGTCATAAATCATATTTTCCTTGATTATTTTTTTTCACCTTACAAAAGTGTAATCTTACATTGGTTCAACCCCCC